CTCAGTTCACACATTGCCAGCACCGGATCTGCAGGCAAGTTTTGATCACGAAGCCACTGCTGCGCAAAGGTCTCTGACGCAGCCGCTCGCTCTCCCAAATTGGCTCGCCGCAACAAGCTGCCGAGCGTCAACTCAACACAGCCCTTCAGGCCAAGCACGTAAACTTTCACCTCTGCCCGCTTCAATATTGAAGAGGGAAGCGTTCCCCACACCATTGGCGCGAGCAACTGGCCCGTTTGTTTCCAAAGGTGTTTGGCTTGCAGGACCACAGCCATGGGCAGAAAACCGTCTGTCGGCGCAGTGCGTGGGCACCATGGCCCTTCATTTCCATCGGCGAACCAAGCAAAAGAAGCGATCTCCCGCCACAGTTGCAACGTGGCAATTTCTGAAGAAGCAGCTATCGCCCGCATAGCCGTTGGAAGGTCTGCGAAGAAGCAGCTGAACCGCAGCGCCATTAGAGCTGCCATGACTAGGACTGCCTGTGTCTACAACGGTGCTCAAAACGAACGTTGAAAGCGGGCTGTAACCTATCCACTGCTGGTCAACCTCGTTGAAAGGCTGCGGCGGATGTTTCTTGCCCATTCCCGAGGCCGAGCGGCGAAAAGCAATAGCCACGACACACACATATGTGTCCACATGCACAAGGTTGCGGTGTGTATGTGTGTGTGTGTACGCATGTGTGTTTGTATGTATGTATGTATGTATGTATGCATGCATGCATGCACGCATGCATGCATGTATGTATGTGTGTCTGTGTATGTATGTATGTATGTATGTATGTGTGTATGCGTGTATGTGTGTATGTGTGTATGTATGTATGTCTGCATGTCTGTATGTATGTATGTATGTATGTATGTACGTACGTACGTATGTATGTATGTATGTATGCGTGTATGCGTGTATGTATGTATGTATGTATGTATGTATGTATGTATGCGTGTATCACCTGTATGTATGTATGTATGCATGTATGTATGTATGTATGTATGTGTATGTAGCGCCTGCGCGTCTGGCAACCCGCACGCCGCCGGTGGCCCATAGAATCCCCCAAACCAAACGGCCCCACAAAACCTTAAAGACCGAAGGCGCGTGAAGACTCGGCCGGGCAGAGCGCCGTCTATCACTGTTCAATAAAAGGGGTTGCCCGGGACACTCCAGAGAACCAAGTGGAGACCCAGTGTGGACGAGCTCCGGAGAGCGAATTCTTTCCGCGCGGGCGACCCATAGAACGCCCTAGCGCCGCCCGGGCGGTGCAAAGGGTCCTCGGGAGCCGCCCTGGCCGCCCGAGTCATTGCCTGCGCCGTCCAACTGGTGTGTTTGCTTCTGGGGGGGCTGCCGCCCCCCCCCAACCCCCCCGCTAAGGGCAACAACTTAAGTTCAGCTGGTTTTTATTTTGGTAGTGCATATATTGGACGTGTTTTCTCTTATGGTTCGTTTTCTCCCCCGCTAAGGGCAACAGCCTGAGTTCGACGGTTTGACGCCTCAAAGGTTCAATTGCTTTAGCGCGTGTAGTGGGTTTGGGGAAGTTCGTGCGTTGAAGGGTGTGCGTGGATTGAGTTAATTTGGTGGGTCTACTTGGCGTTTACCCCTCTTGCTTGGGGTTTACCCTCCTAGCCTTGCCTTGGCAGATTACTGGTAGTAAGAGACGAGTGCTCTTTTGAAGCCTCGCAAAAATGACGATCTTGACCCTAAACCCTCGACGGCTGAGGCTTGAAACCCTAAACCCTAGAAGGCTCAGGGTTTAGACCCTAAACCCTAGAAGGCTGAGGGTTTAGACCCTAAACCCGAGAAGACGGGCCTCCAACCTAGTAGCGATGGCCTCCACCCAGTACACCGGTCGGCAGAAGTCAAAGCAATTTCAGAAACCATGCCAGTTCCCCATGAGAGGCCGCGCATTCAGGAAGTCAAACAAGTCAATGCAAAAACATGCAAAACACCATCAGGAGGCAGCGATAAAACTATGTTTGTTGCTATCGTTTAATCTTACTTGAACGCCTCAGAAAACTGTATTTCAGCATGTGGACGCACATCCAATAATGATCAGGAAACGAAGGAAATTGTATAAAATCGTATGTTTCTTGACTGAGTTCACCATGGGACGCCGTATGATCCACTCCACCAAAGTGAGCACTGATACTAATCCATGTGCATGCTCCAGTGTGGCTTCGTGATGGTTGTGGTTTGACCATTGGCTAACTTGAGCATGTGTCTTGAATCCCTACATAACCACAGCAACCAACTCTGTCGAGGACTTCTGGCAGCAGCCTGATTCAGGATTCCTCGCTGCGGCCGGATTCAGGATTTCTCGCTGCGGCCTGATTCAGGATTCCTGGCCGCAACCTCACCAGAAACTGGATTATCTAAGGCAGGCTGCGGCAAGGAATCTGCCGCTGCTGCTGCTGCTGCTGCTACTGTGGTAAAATGGGGGTTCAAGACACATGCTCAAGTAAGCAAAGGGTCAAACCACGACCATCAAATGGATTTTGTCTTATTCCCTTTCCTATGTAGCTGCCTTCGATGGCTGCAGCCATGTACTGCAAAGACCTGTGTTTGCCATATAGGTCTGCAACCATTGGAGAGCCGGAAACGAAGGGGTGGCTTGGACGAGGTGCCGGACGGGGTGGCGGACGAGGTACCAAAGCACACAGCCCCGCCATGACACGTCTCCACTTCGCCCTCTTACTGCAAAAGCCACAAGCTTTTGAAGCAGCCAAAGACAAGCAGCAGCAGCCAAGCAGCCAAGCAGCAGCAGCAGCAGCGGCGGCAGCAGCAGCAGCAGCAGCAAACAAGAAGCAGCAGCAGCAGCAGCAGCAGGCTTCAAAGCGCACAGACCCAGGCACCAAAGCACACACAGGTACCACTTCCTCTGTTTGAAGTAAGAACACCAGCAGCGCTCTCTTTGCGACAACCAGTTTGCAACCTAGCGGCGGCTTTATTGGATTTCTGGTGTGCACTATGTGCATGGAAAAGTCATCTTGTGAGATAAAGTCTATCTCCAGCAGGACGCAACATTGCATCGACTTCCAAAAATCTTTCGCCACGCAAAAATTTATCAAAACGCATCGACTTTCACATCTTGGAGTAGCAATGGCCTCCGCAATGGCCTCCACCCTAGTAGCGATGGCCTCCAACCTAATGGCAATGGCCTCCAACTTAGTAGCAATGGCCTCATCCTAGTGGCAATGGCCTCCACCCTACTAGCGATGGCCTCCAACCTAGTGCAATGGCCTCCACCCTAGTAGCGAGGGCCTCCAGCCTAGTAGCGATGGCCTCCAACCGGAGTAGCAGTGACCCTCCACCCTAGTAGCGATGGCCTCCACCCTAGTAGCAATGGCCTCCACCCTAGTAGCGATGGCCTCCACCCTAGTAGCAATGGCCTCCACCCTAGTAGCGATGGCCTCCACCCTAGTAGCGATGGCCTCCAACCTAAGAACGATGGCCTCCACCCTAAGAGCGATGGCCTCCACTCTACTAGCGATGGCCTCTTGACAGGGAAGGGATGGTTGTAAAGACTGTTGCGAAATCCAGCAATCAACAAGAAATCGAGTTCATGGGGGACATGTTGGGAACTGATTCAGAGAAACGTTGCATTCTCAATTTGTTATTTGTTTGCAGGGCGATAGTGTTTCGCGTTATATATTACATACATGCATATATAAACTAGGGGCTCAAACGGACATAAAACGTTGCTATAATAGAATTCTATTGAAATACCCACTGTAAGCACTTGAACTAACAAGCGTATGAAATGAGCACACTCTTTTGTTGACAAACATCATTCTTTTTGGACCAAAGATACAAAATTCAATTGAAATGAAAGAGTTTATGTGAACAAAGGGGCCGGGCATAGGCATTTTCTAGAGACATATCATATCCTTGGCTTTGGGGGTTCAACTTTCAGAAAAGGCCAGTGCTGTGGACTCAAAGCATCACTTGAGGCACTCACTCACTCAACGAAGCAGCACAAATGTGTACAGACTTCAAGACCGTACGCTCAACATCTACACAAAGTGTTTTCCTGTAGAATTGGCCTATGGTCACAAAAGGCAACCTCCAAGATCATGCCCAAGAAAAGGTGTTCCTATTAAATGAGGGGCACTACGGGCACAGACGTTTTTACATAATTATTCTACAATTAGTTTTATATCGACCATAGGGCCATTGGGATGTTTATGGAACTTTGCAAATGATTGACTGGGGCCCTTGCGAGATACCCGGAAATATGACAGCAAAGGCATGTATGGGCAAATATGCAAGCACGAATCAATAAGCCCACATGTGCGCGCATGGTAAAATGGGAAGAGACGGGTTGGAAGCGACGACCACAATGGAGAAAAAGACAAAAAGGACAACACAAAAAGAACAAAACAAAAGACTTGCGAGCTTAATCTAGATAGCGTAGCCCATTCAGGAAAGAGTGTTTCTCCGTGTTCTTTCTTCAGACCTCGAACCTTCTTTTCCTTCCTTCTTTTGCAAGGTTTCACACACAGGTGTCTTCTCTTCATGCAAAGGCACCAGTCGATGTGGGTGAGGCCTGCCAGATTCTCTTCAGGAAGTGTGAGACATACTAAAAAGCCATCACGTCTGAAAGGAAATCAAGAAGAATGAGATAGAACATGTTCCCAACGTGCCTCGCTGCTCTCGGTCTCAACCTCCCACGCTAAGGACCTGCCTTAGAACTGTTGCAAAGCAAAAGCAAGGCCAATGGTGAGCCCCGAGTACTTCGGTCCTCTTCTCAAGCACGTCAAGCCAAAGCCGTCGTGGCACATCCCGATCCCCAAAGCTGCCCAATGCTGGAAAATTAATGGACTTTCTTGGAAAAAACAAAAAACATCCAGTACTCACACCTACCAAGTCCATCAAATTCAGCCAAGAGGCACTCAAGGCTTTCAAGACACTCATCCTCAACCTTCTCAACTTTCGAGTCTTGTGAGTTCACTGACACAAAGGAGACATGATTCCTCAGTTCATACGGAAACACGTCTTTCGCTCGCATCAAGTCCCGCCCGCATCCGCCCACCTGTCTTTCCACGATGCAGTGAGCACATGGTACAAATTCAGCTGAGCGGCTGAAATGAAGGCCATTGTTTGGAGACCTAGACAAACTGCGGGAGGCGGTATGTAGAAGATTGTTTTTGGAGCATGGCAAATGGATATCGACGGATGTTTGTTTGGCAACCTACTTTGTTCGCTCTTGCTTGCCCCCTCTCTTTGCCAGAGTCCTACTCCTACTCCTACTCCTACTCCTACTCCTCCTACTACTACTACTACTACTACTACTACTACTCCTGCTGCTGCTGCTGCTGCTGCTGCTGCTACTACTACTACTACTATTGCCACTACTACTACTACTACTCCTACTCCTACTCCTACTCCTACTCCTACTCCTACTCCTACTCCTACTACGACTACTACCACTACTACCACTATTACCACTATGACTAAATTTGCAGGCCTGGTGGTGGTCACTCAAGACCTTTTGCGTCGATCGTTGTTTGAACCTTTCTATGCTCTATTGGCTGCAGGCTGCAACCACCCGTAACATGTTCTTAGGTGAAGAGGAGCAGTCCTCCATCCTCAAGTCAACACTTGTGAAGCCATGAAAAACATTCTTGGTCTAAATGAATGAACAAAAAGTTGCCTGTCGGACATAAGGCAAACGGTGCGCGTGACTGAAACATGCATCATCCACCGTGGCTTATCAAAGTTCCCCGAATTGCCTTCCTCCGAGACGTAGAAAGAACACATTCAACGAGCTTGCCCTGTCATCTTCCCAGGCCTTCTCAGGGTTCAGCACAAGGCCAGAGGGCTCCTTTGTGCTGTGGACCACATAGAGCAAAGAAAAACGAGGAAGCAAAGGAAGGAAAAAAACGGCCTAAAGGTCTCACAAAATTTAAGAATTCTCCCGCTACACTATGTAGCTACTTGAGCATACAGCTACCAGCTGCATCTTACCATATCTTACCTGCTTGGCCTATCCGCTACCTAGCAATAAGATAGAAAAAAAGGCGGTAGGGCTCCTTTCATGATAGCCCTTTCAAGGGGTACTGATTGTAGGTGCCCTTATTTCTCGATTGCCTAAATTCTGCAGCTTTCCCGATTCCACTTCTCAGTTGGCAGGGTCCTGGGCTTGGCCCACAGGCCTCATGCGCTCTTGCTCCGAGGAGCATCCTGCACTCTGAACTCACAAGTCTCACGAAGGAATGGGTCTGATGTGTGGATTTCAATTAGAGTTTAAAAATGTATATGTGTAGTATATATAAAAATGCTAAATATAGTTTTGACTAGTATTGATAAGATTGGTAATGTACTATGATGTACTATGATATAATATCATCTGTGGTCTTAGAATGTTCAACACCTCTCGATGCGAAGGCGGGAAGGCCCGCCTATTTCCATTGGAACACAAGCGAGCAAGCAGATATGTACCTGGGCACTGTACTCTCCGTCGTCGCACATGGTTATTTGGGCCAGGCCCTGTAAAGGGATGGACTTTCTACGGGGGAATCCAAACTCCTTCTGCGCTTCGGGCAAGTAACAATTTGCCAAGAATTTATCGGGCCCACTACGCTTGCTTCTGAGCTGCTGCTTGACTCCAGGGCCAGGCAGTCGAGTACATTGAGCCCAAAAAAACAGACCGACATGCATTGTTTCAATGCATACACCATAGCGTGACATGAAACAATCCATTGCGCCGATGAAGACATTAAAACAAGGCTTTGCACTGGCACTTCACTGTGTGCTTTTCTGAGACGTATGTCTCTTAGATGTGTGGTGCACAAACAGTGTGAAGAATGCTGGCTTTGCGGGTCTTGTGTTTCGGACAGATCCGGACAGAGGTGAAACTGACAGACTGCGGAATGGCGTGGTTTGACCCTTTTGAGATTCTTAGAAATCCAGAAAGGTTGATCCAGGCACAACATTGGATGTTTTACAACTCATACGCGGCTGGGTTTCCAAAGTGTCAAATCGCTTAATTCAGCCCCCCTTGCTACTAGTAGCTTCTTGCTACTAGTAGCGATGCACCTGTTACTAATAGCGATGCCCTTGTTACTAATAGTTTTTTGTCACTAGTAGTAAGGCCAGGAACTACTAGTAGCGTCCTTGCTCCTAGTAGCGATGCCCTTGTTACTAGTGGCAAGTGTGCATTGAAAGTTGAAACTGAGCGGATGTTGAAAGTCAATTGCGAACTGTGGGCCAAAACCAAACAAATGGATTCTCTTTGCTCCTAGCCTTCTTTAAGCGGACGCTCCCGAAGGCGTATTTTTCATTGTTTTACTATCCAGTACAGCAGTATATTAGGTGGAGGCCATCGCGTGGAGGCCATCGCGAATAGGTTGGAGGCCATGGCTAAAAGGTTGGAGGCCATCGTTAGTAGGTTGGAGACCATCGGTAGTAGGTTCGAGCCCATCGCTAGTAGGTTGGAGGCCATCGTTAGTAGGTTGGAGGCCATCGCTAGTAGGTTGGAGGCCATCGCTAGTA